AGAGTGAGTGCCATGGCGTCAGCCTAGCTCACAGCAACCTCAAACTCCTGGGCTCAGCAATCCTCCTGCCTCAGCCTCCCGAGTAGCTGGGACTACAGCACGAGCCACCATGCCCGGCTGATTTTTATATTATATATATTAGTTGGCCAATTAGTTTCTTTCTATTTTTTTTTTATGGTAGAGACGGGTCTCGCTCAGGCTGGTTTTGAACTCCTGACCTTGGAGCAATCCGCCCGCCTCGGTCCAGAGTGCTAGGATTACAGCGTGAGCCACCGCCGCGGCCTTGTCCTCTTCTGACATTCGTATATAGACTGGCTGCATACTAAAAAGGAGAGAGTTTTGTATGCCCTTGACTTAGTTTTTATTATTTTTGGATGGAGATTTGGACAGGAATGTTAGTGCAGTGTGAAAACTACTAGAAAGTTCTTGTTGAATAATCTACTTTAAAATCAAAACTGTTCTCAGAAGGTTTTTTTTTTTTTTTTTTTTTTTTTTTGAGACAGAGTCTCACTTTGTTGCCCAGGCTAGAGTGAGTGCCGTGGCATCAGCCTAGCTCACAGCAACCTCAAACTCCTGGGCTCAAGCGATCCTCCTGCCTCAGCCTCTTGAGTAGCTGGGACTACAGGCATGCACCACCATGCCCGGCTAATTTTTTCTATATATATTAGTTGGCCAATTAATTTCTTTCTATTTATAGTAGAGACGGGGTCTCGCTCTTGCTCAGGCTGGTTTTGAACTCCTGACCTCGAGCAACTCGCCGCCTTGGCCTCCCAGAATGCTAGGATTACAGGCGTGAGCCACCATGCCCAGCCTGTTCTCAGAAGCTTTGAGGTGAGTCTTCAGCAGTTGTACCCTGGTGTGCTGGAGCAGCTTGTTCGTCCATTGCAGGGGTCCCTTTGCAAGCCTTCTAGCCTTTGTAGTCATGGTAGCCCATCAACAATTCACCCTGTTCCTGATGTGGACCCTTGTGCAAGGTGACTGTTTCATGCATGAGAATTATTCTGAATCCTGGACTTCTCAGAGCCCCGTTTACCTTAAAGATCTCTTGGGATAGCTACCAGACCTCATTCCATAAAACTGTTTTCTCCCACCTGGGTAGAGCTTCCAGGAGCCCCATAAATGACATGGTTCTCCTGTTTGCAGTTGGAGAGTACTTTTGTAGTAGGTTTATTTATACATGTGGATGTTGGTGTTGGGGGCTTCCCCAAGTGAGTAAGCAGCCTTTGTTATTTATTTTGAAGGGAATTTCAGCAACTCTGAAAAAGCTCTAAAACCTAGATGGCTGCCATGGTCCTGCTGGAGAAAGGTGGTATGAAAGAAAAGCTGGATCACAGAGAATGAGTAGAGATTGGAGATAAATCCTAACTGCAGCTTAAATGAAATCATATAGATTAGGTTTTGCTATATTGTCCTATTCATTGATCAGCAAAAACCATAGAGCTTTATGTTTGTCTAGTGACTTAATTATTGTGGTTATTACACTGTACTCTAACTGATTGAGGACGTTACAAACTTTGCTGTAAACTTTTTAAAGTGAGACCAAACCATTTTCAGTGTTCTATAAAACAGACCAATACTGATCTGCCTAGATAAGTTTTTTCCCTAGGAGCTTCTGATAAATAATTATAGCAAAGGCAAAAAGTAGCAGTGAAATGATAGACCGGGATGCTGGAATTGAAATATGTTTCTTCTTTCAGCTTACTTTTTTAAAAAGTTTATTTTTCAATAAAAGAAGTTCGCAGTGGGGCTGGGGAGCAAAAACAGTCATTTTCCGTTTCTGTACTAAGGTAACTGTGATTAACATGTGGTATGTAGATGAGAAATTTTTTCTTGGCTACACCTTGAAATGTTTGCACTTTTAAGTGTGTGGGACTTTTTTCTTCTAAGTAGAATCTACTATACATGCTCTTCTGGTCTTATTTTTTTTTTAAGTTCTTGTTTTTTATTTGACATTTTTGAGCTGCTATTATATGCTAGTCTTGGGTTATACACATCTTTGAGTAAAAGAGAAATTTGACCATAAGATGTTAACCAGCCTAAAGGAGAGAGGTTAGAGATGTGTGTGTGTGTGTGTGGGTTTTTATTGATTTTGTTTATTTAATGATTTTCAGAATTATCAAACCATCACAGAAATTTTCCATGTTAAATATGGACATAAACCATGCTTCTTATGACTCCTGGTATTCTGTTGTATATTGTGTCATCATTTAATGCTCTAATGATGGACATGCCAGTTTGGTTCTGGGCTCTTGATGTTAATAAAGTAATGAATATATTTGTTCCCTGGCTTAGTTATTCCTTAGGGTATATTTTTAGAGTTGGAATTGTTGATTCAAGAGTACTGTTTTTTTAAATATTAAATAAGATTTTAGTTTATTATTCTGAGCACAGAAAGATTAACTTGCTTGAGATCACTCTGCTAGTAAATGACAGTGCTAAGATTGAGCCCTGGCATTTAATCCTGTATAAACTGCCCTTTTAAGAATACGTTTTTGTTGCTTTTTGTCATCAAGTTAACAAATATATAAATGCCCAGTTCAAATGGAGTGGTCACATTAAATAATGTGAAATTGCTGATGGATGTCAGAATTTAAGTAATTCTACCTGGAGACCAAGTATCAGGGTACTCAATAGAGTACCTAGATACTAGAGTACCTTTCTTAGTAGAGGCAGATCCTAGTTTATCATTGGGTTGTTGTTATTTTCAAGCATTGAGTGTAAGTCTGGAGTAGTGGTCCCAACTTTTTGGCCTAAGGACCGGTCTCATGGAGACAATTTTTCTACAGACTGGAGTGGGGTGAGGGTGCCAGAGCTCAGGCGCGATGCTGATACAACCAGTGGTGAGAAGAGTGGCCTACAAATACAGATAAAGCTTCACTCTGTTGCCCTCCACTCACCTCCTGCTATGCGCTCCCCTTCCTAAGTTTCATGGAAGACAATTTTTCTGAGGGGTGGGAACAGAGCTCTGTGGCCAGTCCCTAACAGTCCATGGACTGGTGTTGGTCTGCAGACGGGGGGTTGGAAACTGCAGGTCTAGAGGATTGTTAAAGCTTGTATATGGGTGCTGCGTCCCTTGGAACCTTCAGAGTCCTCAGAAGCAGCAGTATGTCTGACTTACCTTTGCATTCCTGTGTTGGTAAAGTGAAGCTATTTGACTTCAAAAGTCCCTGCACTAATAGTGCTAAGAAATCTAACTGCCACGGTATCACTGTTTTCACGTGGGGAGACTACTTACTGCTCCCATTTGTCCCATCAGAAGCACATTTTCCCACCTTACCAGATCAGGAATTCCTTTCTCTTACTACTTAAGTAGACTGACTTCTCTAGTGACTGAGGCCAAGCAGAGGGCCCTGGGACCCAGCCATGATGGCAAAGGTGTGGCGTGGCCCTACATAGATTTTCCACTGCTGAGCCCCAAAACCTTTCTTAGACCACATTACTTTTTTTTTTTTTTTCTTTATTTCGGCATATTAGCACATTACTTTCTGATTATGTTTTTTCTTTAACCTCAAAGGTTAGCCTGCCTGTTTCCTTTTCCCCTGCCTCTACTTACTGCATCTCCCCCTGAGCTAAGCACACCATCTTGTCCTCTTTCTTTCCTCTACTTAGACCTGCTGGGGCATAGGGCTGATGCATCAGAACCACCCGATGCATGTGCAATGCAGGTTACTAAGTCCAGCCTTATACTATTGGATCAGGTCTCTGAGTGATAATCCAGCGACAAAACATGTCTTTAACTTTTATGATGAAGCTAACAAACGTAGCCAAACATAGAGACCCATGCTACAGTTCACCCTGGTGTGCCTGTTAGCCAGGTGTGTTACCATCATCCGTCCTTGAGCCATTTCTGCTCCATCTTTGTCCCCACTTCCTCTCAACCCTGATTATTTGTAAACAAGTCAGATACCTTTTGTCCCCTGTACATAAATAGCTCTGTGTATTTTTCTCCTAGCTTTTTATTCTTGAAAAGTTTTGGATCTAAAGGAAAAATGTAATAGTGAATACCTCTATACCCTTTACTTAGATTCTGCAGTTTTGTCTGATTTATTTCTGTGTGTGTTTATTTCTCTTACCTATTTTTTTGTTGTTGCTGAACCATTTGAGAATAAGTTGGGGTATCATGACAGTTCATTTCTAATGATTTAGCTTGTTTCTCCTAAGAACAGGGACATTCTCTTGTATAATGACAACACAAATATCACATTTTGGAAATTTTCCTAAAGCGTCTAGGCCATTTGTTTAACAAAATATCCTCACATTTAGATTTGTCTTACTGTTTTATCATGACTAGATGCAAATGACATACTTTAGCAGGAATACTGTGTAGGGGATATGTTCTTCTGAGGATACCACATGTGCAAGTTTGTTCACTATTGGCAATGTTAAGGCAGTCACTTGCTTAAGGTAGTTTTGCCAGAACTTCCCATTGTAAGGGCACCTTTGCCCTTTTGTAATTAACCATACATTGATGATTCTTACCTGAATCAATTATTACCATGGTGGTTTATCTAAGGGAAGATTCATCTATACTTAAGTAGAACACTCAGTCTTGGATTTCTGGGCATTTTGTTGTTAGAACAGGGGTGGGCAAAAGTAGGGAAGTGAGAGGCTAGGAATATGTGTTATTTCTGTGAGCTCAGAGGCACGGAGAGTAGCTTCTCTGTGTGTTTGAGGTGGTCGTGAAGTGGGGTCCTAGTCATACTCTTCCTGTCACGTGTTGATCTAGCCCGACAGTGGGACTACAAGGAATTGTGGTCAGAGAACATTAGGAAGGCCCTAGCACTGGGGCTCTGATGGAACGGTGAGTTCTTGTGGCTGCTTGCCTAGAGCTGCACTGTCTAGTTGGCCTTTGGAGATGTGAGGTATGTATCTGCTTATGTACATTAGAGACTGTTCCTGTGTGCTCCTGGCTGTGTAACTGGCAGAATAGTCTGCAGTCAGGGTCGTTACTATCTTGAATCATGATCAGATTTGCTTCTGACAGAGCTTCTTTTTTTTAGTGGGTGAATTTGTAAGTGATGTTCTGCTAGTTCCAGAAAAGTGCCAGTTTTTCCACAAAGAGCGGATGGAGGTGTGTGAGAATCACCAGCACTGGCACACTGTAGTGAAAGAGGTGAGACAATGCGCGGAAACCGTCAAGTGTCGCGTCTGTTAGGAGAGAAAGTAGCATTTTTCTCCAAATCTCACCATGCTTTTAATTGTCTTTATTTACCCTTTATCTCCTTAAAGTTTACTATTGTATGTTCTAAATTAAAAATATTTGGGGAGGAATATATATTTGCATGGGGAAGTATAGCACTGACAGTCGAGCTTCTAAAGTTAAGGATATTTTATCCTGGTCAAGTTGAAAGAAAACATTAAAATTTCTTTTAAAAAGGATATTAAATAGTTTGTTGAGCACGAATACTGTATGCTGCCAGCAAGGCTTCCAGCAAGGTCATCCTAAACCCCAGGGACTGTGTGGAAATAGCCAATTACAGAAATAAATTCTTGGTCTATACATACATGGAGACAGGATTAGATGCTATTTGACTCCTCTGGCAGAGAGTAATAACCTATCATCTTGTCATTGATAATTAGGTTGGTTCTTCAGTCAGTAGTTGTCCTTTGGTCAGAGTCTGAAGTAGTGCCCACACCAATGGTCAGTGTAAATTAGCACTGACCACCTTTAACTAGTATTGATAATAACTGGAAGAAGCTCCTTTTAATTTTTTTCAAGTCTAGTTTTTCAGTGTTTTGGGGCCAGATGATGTTTCTGTATTATAAGTTAAGTAAAAATTTTCAATGCTGTATGTAGAAACTAAAAAACAAAAAATTTAAAATAAAATAAGGAAAATTTGTAAATCTTAAACTAATAGAACAATTTTTTGACATAAATTTTATGTGTCATAAGAGAGAAAGCATGACCTAGTGATTCGAGACAGGTTTCTTTTGGCTAAGGGATCAGGGAATATGTGACTAGATTTACTGTGGAGCATGCTCTGATGTGGTCTGGGTTTCTTTTAGGCATGTCTGACTCAGGGAATGACCTTATATAGCTACGGCATGCTGCTGCCTTGTGGGGTAGACCAGTTCCATGGCACTGAATATGTGTGCTGCCCTCAGACAAAGATTATTGAATCTACTGTGTCAAAAGAAGAGGAAGAGGAGGAAGAGGAAGAGGAGGAAGATGAAGAGGAAGACTATGATATATATAAAAGGTAGCTCTTGTCCTGAGCTATGAAATCATTTTGTCTATTTGTTAGCACTCCTGTAAAAGTGGCTGTCGGCTGCTGGCCCCTTACTTCTGGATCAGGTGGGCATTCCCTTGTGCTAGAGTTGATTCAGCTTGTGTTTCATTGTAGTCACAGCTGATGACAGGAATACCTGTGACTTTTGGCTTTACATCATACTGGCCTGCATTATTTCTGCAGGTTAATGCAGTCTGTGTCCACTAACTCTTCTCTTTTGCTGATGTAGCTGAGCTGAGGGCTTTAGTGGCACAGTTAAATTTAAGTGGGAGTTGAGCTTATTTCCTGTCTCTGTTTTTGTGTTTCAGAGTAGGGAAGGGAACCATTATTGTGCTTTGTGCATAGGAGAGTATTACCCTTCCTTTTTCTATTGTGGCCTTTAGTGAATTTCCTACTGAAGCAGATCTGGAAGACTTCACAGAAGCAGCTGTGGACGAGGATGACGAGGATGAGGAAGAAGGGGAGGAAGTGGTAGAAGACCGTGATTACTACTACGACACCTTTAAAGGAGATGATTACAATGAAGAGAACCCAACTGAACCCAGCAGCAATAGTGCTATTTCAGACAAGGAAATTACTCACGATGTTAAAGGTAACCCGATGTGAAGCTATGGCTTTAAATCCACATGGTAATTATTTACTTAGACTTTTGTATTGCATTTATTACAGGTAAGTCAGGCACAGAAGGAAAGGTGGTATCTCTGTGCTGCAGGTGAATCCAGCTCTCCAGTGTGGTGTGCCATCTTAGCAGTGAGTAGGCAGGCACATCCAGGGAGAAATGGAGAATTGAATTAGAAAAACAGAGTTTGCATTGTAACAATTAAATTAGAAAACAGGGACTAGAGAGTAAAAGAGACAACCTGATCCACCCTTCAGCAGGATTCTTTCATGTTTAGCCTAAAATGTTCTCTTCAAGGAAAGGTGTACTCTTTAATACCACTCAAGCCCCCGCCTTCTAGAATGGATATGACTTTCCTGGTTTTTCTTTTTGTCCAGATGTTTGTAGCTGGGAGGATGAAATTTAATGACCTACTGGAAACAAATTGGGGCCTGCAGTTTTTTCATCTTGCCAATTATTATAAAAAAAGAAAAGGTGATAGTTCCAGAGCCATTTGTACACAGCCTCCTGCTGATTGTATATTTGAAACCAATTAAGATTTGAAGAATTATGTGGACTCAATTGGAGGGAAATTACTTAACTAGTCTAGAAGTTTACAGTTCACTTTAGACACCATAAAAATGGAAAACACTTGTCCTTCCTGTCGTGCATTAGTCTTTGGTACAGGTATCACCACTTAAAACAGTCTTTCCTCCAGCATTATCTCCTTTGGTCCTTGAAACCACCGAAATGGACAAACCAGGCAAATATCTCCACTTAACAGATTGGAAATGTGAGCCTCACAGAGCTGTGAGACAAAGAATTTCTCTGTGTCAGCCTAAACCTCAATTTACACTCCAGGCAGTGCCAAATAAAATTTATTTCAGTTCCTAAATATCTTTATTACATGGGAAATAACAGCTACTCAGAAATGACTGGCCAGAGTTGGGGAGTTCAGTTAGCAGGGCCTTCAGGCTCAGCCCCCGCTTGGGCCTCTCCTCACCCCATCCCGCCCCTTGCTGGCCTGTAGCATTTTGAAGCATTTGAAGCAACTGCCTCTGTCCTGCTGACACTTGACCATTTTCACACAGCTGTCTGCTCCCAGGAGGCGATGACGGGGCCCTGCCGGGCCGTGATGCCTCGTTGGTACTTCGACCTCTCCAAGGGAAAGTGCGTGCGCTTTATATATGGCGGCTGCGGCGGCAACAGGAACAATTTTGAGTCTGAGGATTATTGTATGGCTGTGTGTAAAACGATGAGTAAGTCCCGCCTCGCGCTGGCCCTGTGCAGCAGCACTGTCCTGTCCAGCGTTCTGTCTCTCTCCCGCCGTCCTTGTGACTGCATCTGTGTAGTGTTCCCTGCTGACTCAGGTGTTTGCTGTCAGTTGTTTTTCCCCCTCATCTTTGTGCTTTCTAGATCTAGGCTGTACTTCCTGTCGGCAGTTGTCAGCTCAGTTTTCCGTGTCCCGTGCTCACTGTGTGTCTGGTGGTGGTTGGCGGTGGTGGTGTGTGACCTCCTTGGTGCAGGGGATGGTGGAGCCAGGGGCTTGTTCTTTCTCATCCAGCCTCCCAACTTTAGTGTCTGTTGCAAAGGCAGCCATGCCCTCGACCATCTCTAATTGAAAGGCACCAGCGGGTAAGCGGAATAACAGTTGAGTTCCAGGCTTTGCCTCTCATTCTTGTCTTTGAACTGCCCTGTAGCTGACCCCTGTGATGCACGCCAGCTGAAGGGACGCCCATTCTTGAAAGGAGTGACAATAGGAGTATTTTGGGGAGTTCAGAAAATTGAAATATCTTGCATTATGCACGCTGGGGAGAGAGCTCTGCAGCCAAGTGGTAGTGAGTTGTTTCTCCGGTGTGTTGGCAGCACTGGGTCATAGAGCACTTTAGAAAGTGAGGGAATCTCAGCTTGTGTGATCTTTGATCTGAAACCCATTGGGGTTGGGTTTATGCTAGGCGTAGGCAGGAAAAAGTTTTCCTTTTCTCTGTGGTTATTCCCTTTCTTTTTTAAGATCTGCTCTCTTACCTTGCAGCACTGACCCATGCTGACCAGGCCAGGTAGTTTTTCTTGGTTCCCACTCTTGAATTCATCAGAATAATAAGTTGCTGTCTGTTCCTGGTATTTGCGCTAAAGGTTTTTGGTTGTAGTTCTGATAGTTTTTCATTCATGTTTGATCTTTCTTCTTCAAATCAATAGATTTTTTACATCTTAATATAAAATGGTATACTCTCAGTGCTTCCACTGCAGCTGCTGCACAACGAGAAAGCTGTTCTTATTTGATACAGTGGAAAGGGTGAACTAAAAGGAGTCCTTGGGAACGTTATCAAATAAACTTTGTTTATTCAGGAAAGATTTAGAGATAGAAGTCTCTAGAGATAGAAGTGATATTTACTACTTTATAAAACTATTCAAACTAAGGGTCAAGATAACACTGTTTGGGGTTGAAGTTTGAGGAATTGAGGACCTTTAAAAATCTTACTGAATGAGGAGGTGGCAATCTCTTCCTGAAGGATAGTGTTCTAAGTGTCCCTCTCCCCTCTGGTCCCAGGGGGTGTGTATTTTGTATTTTTGTCTAGCCTAGTTATAGGAACCAAAGGCTCTGTCTCCAACGCGTAAGCCTTTACACTGCAGGCTGGTGTGTTGTTGGTAGTGATGTGCAGGTCGGCACGATGGACGTCAGTGCTTGAACTTGTCCTTTACTGAACTTCTGAGTATCTTGGGGAATGTCATTTGCTAAGCTATATATTCTAATTGAGTTTAATCTGGAAGTTGGACGTTGAGATTCTTTTTAAACTTATGTAGAACTCACATATTCTTGGCCAGATGCAGTGGCTCATACATGTAATCCTAGCACTTTGGGAGGCTGAGGCAGAAGGACCCCTTGAGCCCAGAAGTTTAAGACCAACCTGAGCAATAGTGAGACCCCATCTCTACAAAAAATAAAAAAAACTTAGCCAGACATGGTGTTGTGTGCCTATAGTCCCAGCTACTTGGGAGGCTGAGGTGGGAGGATCGCTTGAGCCCAGGAGTTTGAGGTTGCTGTGAGCTATGATGACACCACTGCACAATAGCTCCACAATAGAGTGAGACTCTATCTCAAAAAACAAAAAAAATAACTCATGTATTCTTCATAAGAGTTTAGTTGGTAGTTTTTAGGTTTATTTTAAATAAAAGGAAGCACATAAAAGATACTTCTGACAAAAAAATGTAGGAATGACTGGTTATATTCATCAATTATACAGTGTTTTAATATATTAAAATGATTCAGTTCTGGAAATTAGGTGAATTTACTTCTGAATTAAAAACCAGTTGGGAGGCTGGGCATGGTGGTTCACACCTATAATCCTACCACTCTGGGAGGCTGAGGCAGAAGGATTGCTCGAGGTCAGGAGTTTGAGACCAGCCTGAGTAAGAAATGAGACCCCGTCTCTACTAAAAATAGAAATTATCTGGACAACTAAAAAACTATAGAAAAAAATTAGCTGGGCATGGTGGCACATGCCTGTAGTCCCAGCTACTCGGGAGGCCGAGGCAGTAAGATTGCTTGAGCCCAGGAGTTTGAGGTTGCTGTGAGATAGGCTAACGCCACGGCACTCTAGCCTGGGGAACAGAGTGAGACTCTGTCTCAAAAAAAGAAAAAAAAACCAGTTGGGTCTTTGCATTTACTCTACTTAGCTCTAAAATTATATCATGATATATTAAGCAAATTCACGCCATTCTTCCCCAGCTGGGGAAATCTTGTGTGAATTGGGCTAATAATAAGCATTTCCATAGGTATGTCTTGAAAGGCTGACTGAGTAAACTTGTCATCTCAGGCCTTTCCCTCACTAGGCTAAGCGCCATTGTGCAGAGAGAGTTGCCTGGGCCAGTAAGAGCTTATGCTTGGCCTGGCGCGGTGGCTCATGCCTGTAATTCTAGTACTCTGGGAGGCCGAGGCAGGTGGATTGCTTAAGGTCAGGTGTTCAAAACCAGTCTGAGCAAGAGTGAGACCCCGTCTCTACTAAAAATAGAAAAGAAATTACTTGACCAACTAAAAATATATATACACAAAAAATTAGCCAGGCATGGTGGCACACGCCTATAGTCCCAGCTACTTGGGAGGCTGAGGCAGTAGGATCACTTGAGTTCAGGAGATTGAGGTTGCTGTGAGCTAGGCTGATGCCACGGCACTCACTCTAGCCTGGGCAACAAAGTGAGACTCTCAAAAAAAAAAAAAGAGCTTATGCTTGACCAGCAGCGAGGGAGTCTGTTCCAAGGGGCCTGTGCTCTGAGGGATGCCTGGGAAGACTGATTGGTCAGTGTCATGGATAAAAGAGCCCAAGGTATCTTCACATAGTGGGAAAGTATCCTTGTCAAATAGAACAACTTAATTTTATCCCTGTTAGCCCTGTTATTGGGGAGGAGGGGATAAGAGTGTTTCCTTGATACTGAAAACTCATAATTATAGCTTATGTGTTTTGGACTTTGTCCACCTATCCTGTATGCTAAGAACATTCAGTTGAACCTGTTCACCAATATAAGTTAGGATCTAAAGATAGCTAGAAGAGAGGAAAGGACCTGAGTAATAAGTTTCTTTAAAAACAGAGTTTTGTGGAAATGCTTCTATAGGGTCTGATTCCAGCTCTCAAGATGCTGTCGGTGATAAGCAATAAAGTAGCTGTTTTTTAGGTTTTAGAGTTTCAGGCACTGAAGAGAGGTTTAGAAGAAGTCATTTCTTTCTGCCCTGAGATCTCCTAGGTAGATGCCTCATTGGTGCAGAAGTTATGGGCAAGGCGGGGGGAGCTACCAGTGAAATGCTATTAGCATGCACTGACTGGTTGATGGATACTATGCAAGGAAGATTGCCCACTGTAATCTAACAAAGGGAAGTCTTGGCCAATGGCAGTGCCCTGCACTTCTAGCATGCTACAAGACAAATTGAGTCCATCTGCAGGTTTTAAGCTTCTGTTTTTTTCCTAGAGTACAGTGCAGTTTTAACAGTGCTCCTGACCCCAAAGAGAACACCCTTTGTAATTTTATTTCAGTTCCCCCAACTCCTCTGCCAACCAATGATGTTGATGTGTATTTCGAGACCTCTGCAGATGATAATGAGCATGCTCGCTTCCAGAAGGCTAAGGAGCAGCTGGAAATTCGTCACCGCAACCGAATGGCCAGGGTAAACCTCAGCATTTCCCTTGTCTTCATGGGGTTTGGCTTTGAGTAGCATGGTTTTCATAGTTGAAAAACAGTGACACCATCTCCCTAGAATGTTATGCTAACGTTTAAGGACAGGAGAGGTACAAAAGTATGAGTGAAGCCACCCTCTGGGTAGACTAGTCCTTCTTCCCCACCCCTATCTATATGACAGTGTAATTACCCTCTGAGTGCTCAGCATGTCCCAGACACTCTGCTGAGTGTAACTATTATCTACAGTTTATTTTTCTTTGCCATTGACTTGCTTTAAATTTTTTTTATTTTAAAGAAAAACTTTATATCACTGTCATGTCATAAATAGAAAACCAGTGCCATTTGCCCTGAGAACAACATAACTGTGCAAATAAATTAAGTGAAAACAGGCATGCATCAATATCTTCCAGCCAGATACTGCTGCCTGCTGAAGGTTTAGAGTCTCAGGGCATTTCTTTTCCTTAAAAGGGTTATAAGAGTTAGTGCAGCAGGAGCACCAAAGTGCAAGTTTATTCTTGACTTACTCAGAATTGAAAGAAAATTGAAAAGGGAATTTCTTTGCTCCACCCCAAATCCCACACATATCTCATGCTGGGCTTACACTTGGGGAAATGCTCATTATTTTATTTTACCCTCAGTTCTGAAAAGTAGGTATTAACCTCAATTTGTGGTGAGGAGACTAAGGCACAAAGACTTTAAAATAACTTGCTTAAGGTTATGGAACAAAGAGATCATGGAATTGAGGCTCTGTTTAGGGATAGTTGAGGCCTAGAACCTTCTGAGGCAGTAACAACCTCGAGCTCATAAGGGATGAGATGATGCAGTCTCCTTTTGCCCAGTTTCTTACATTAGATTTAGTACCTGGCAATATTTTTAGAAAATGGAGAGTTGTTTCAGAGGATTGTTCTCTGATGGCAGTGTTTATGACCTCTGTTCTAGGTAAAGAAGGAATGGGAAGAGGCAGAGCTTCAAGCTAAGAATCTCCCAAAAGCAGAGAGGCAGACTCTTATTCAGGTAAGCTGCCTTCTCCAGGGACAAAGCTTTCAGCCTGACCATTTGAAAATGGTCAGCCAATCTCCCAGGAAATTATTCATATTAATAGAATTTGACACCTCTTTTCAGGTGAGGGCTTACGTTACAAGGAAGTTGTAACTGGCATATTTTCCTTTTTCACCTCTAGTGTTGCTCACCTGCGGTAGAAGGAAACCAAACCCTCCACCAGAGCACACCTAATTCATGCCAGGAAGTAACTTTAGCTCAACTGATGTTTGTTGGTTCTGCTTTCCTGGCAAAAGTCCTGTCATTTTCATTCTTAGGGTGTGACTTGTTTTTCAGCAGTACTGAATTCTTTTTTTCCCCAGATGAATTGAAAGTCAAAAGACAGAAAATAAAGATCTCTGATATAGTTCATCTCTAACTGTGTAAGAATATAAGCTTAAGATCACAGCAGCAAACTGCATTTCCCTTCCATAGAAGAGAGTGTGGTGAGGCATGGGAATAGCAATTTACAGGGCTGCTTTGGTTGTATAAAACTGATGACATTTTAAATCATTTTATGTCTAGCTGAAACCTCTCTCCTCCTGATGTTAACACTTTATTGGAAGACCTTTGCTTTTTTATTGATCACCTAGAAATTTAAGTTTTAATTCCTGCATAAGTCAGTGCATCTTGTCCAGGGAAATTTAGTTTAACACCCTCAAACTACCTGTAAACCTAGCCAGACACCTCAGAGATAACTTGGCCTTTGTGACTTAAACAAAAATGATTCAGCATAACCTACTGCCTTGCTGGATTATGTTTCAAAAATATATCTCCCATTGGTCATTGGTTTCAGGGTTTGGAGGTCGGATGTTGCTACAATGTGGTGCACACTGAGAAACCAGGCTTTGGACGTGCAGCACTGGCAATTTCAGTTATGGAAAAATTAAGGAGTCCCTCTAACACTGAGATTTAACTTGCTTTCTTTAGATAAGGATGTAATTGTCCTGATAGAAATCAAATACAGTATGCTTTGATTTTAGCTTTGCTTCACTCTCTGGACCTGTTACTATCTCGTGTGGGCACTGGACAAGGAGAAGCGTTGGGCTCTGAGGTTGCTTGTTTATACTGCCTCCACGTGCCACAAATTATTTTGTTCTTACTGTCCTGATTTAGCACTTCCAAGCTATGGTTAAAGCTTTAGAGAAGGAAGCAGCCAGTGAGAAGCAGCAGCTGGTGGAAACCCACCTGGCCCGAGTAGAAGCCATGCTGAATGACCGCCGTCGCATGGCTCTCGAGAATTACCTGGCTGCCTTGCAGTCGGATCCCCCACGGGTGAGTTGTAGTCAGAGCCAAATCATTGATGAATCCTGTCCTTGATGCCTGCCCTGAAGTGGTGTGTGTATGGAACCGATGTGTAACACACAGGTCAGTAAAAATGACATTTTTATGAATAGTTCTGGCAAAGCTGAAGGTAAGGAAAGAAGATTAGGGAGGAAAAGGTATTAAATTCTAGTGTCTGTGTGTATGGGCTTAGCATTACATCAGTGTATGCCTGTGTATACCATCTGTGATGTGATAATATTTTACACTAGAATAGCATAACCTGAGGAAATTGGGTGATAATTATCCAATTATTGAATTTTCTGTGATAGCCTTATTCTCAAAGAATGAAAATGTACCTTCTATGAATGAAGACTTTTGAACCAGTTTCATTGTGAATAAGATTATTAAGAAAAGGGTAAAGTAATTTATTTTAAAACTTGCATGAATGGTCTCAAACTATTTTATCCCTTAACACTAATCTACCTTGCTTTTGGGTGATGGAAAGTATTGGTGGATGTTTGTATCTTTCTTAAGGAAGCCAATTAAAGTCTTCATTTTGGAGTGATGTGGGAGACTACCTAGCTTGCAATTCAGGTGTCAAAGGCTGACCCGGGAAAGGACAGATCAGAGGATGATAGTGGGCTGGGGATTCTGAAAAATACTGTTCGTTAAGTTTGGAATTTATGTTTTGCTACTTTACCTAGATAGTTTTTGTTACTTGGTAAGCTAAAAAAACTTTTAAAGCTAAGGCTTTCATTCTGTGCCTAGCTGAGCTTTATGTTCTTCCGTGAACAGTTTAAGCCTTTGTTTTCCTGCCTGTTTTCAATTCTCTAGTCTCTGGATATTGTAGCAACTGTTCTCTCTTGCAGCCTCATCGCATTCTCCAGGCCTTGCGGCGTTATGTCCGTGCTGAGAACAAAGATCGCCTGCATACCATCCGTCATTACCAGCATGTGTTGGCTGTTGACCCAGAAAAGGCAGCCCAGATGAAATCCCAGGTATCTTAGACACAGTGGAAATTGCTGCCACGAGAGTATTTCCGGTGGGACGTGGTGCCTTGACTAATGGTTGAACAGCACTGCTAGTTGTTATTAGTCCTCAGAAAATGATTTTTGATTTCTAAACACATCTGGTCCATGAGTTGGCTTTTGCAATGGTACTATTTTAAAAATACCTTTTCTGGCCGGGCGCGATGGCTCACGCCTGTAATCCTAGCTCTCTGGGAGGCCGAGGCGGGCGGCTTGCTCGAGGTCAGGAGTTCGAAACCAGCCTGAGCGAGAGTGAGACCCCGTCTCTACTATAAATAGAAAGAAATTAATTGGCCAACTAATATATATAGAAAAAATTAGCCGGGCATGATGGCGCATGCCTGTAGTCCCAGCTACTCGGGAGGCTGAGGCAGAAGGATTGCTTGAGCCCAGGAGTTTGAGGTTGCTGTGAGCTAGTCTGACGCCACGGCACTCACTCTAGCCTAGGCAACAAAGCGAGGCTCTGTCTCAAAAAAAAACAAAAAAAACCTTTTCTATACTTTCTATATTAAGTACTTCGTATTTCATTTCTAAATTGATGTTTATATCAGTTTATTTCTGATTTAGGGTATCACCAGAATTAATATTTGAAATCCTTTTCTAGGCAAATATATAGGACAGATCTCTTTTCTTGTTTTGTGCATTACAGTTTTTGTTTAGACGGACACTTTTTAACATTTCTGGATTTTGTCCCATGCTGGGTCCAGGTTTACAGTCATCTGTAAAGATTTTCTTCTGGTCTTTCTTTCTAATATCAATAGTTAATATATTGTCCATATATTAACTTGAGTTTTACTTTCTTGTAGTCATAAAATGAACTTTCCTACAAGAATGCTAATAACTTCCTTTTAAACCAGGAAGCCTATAGTTTTCCTAGAGGGCCTTATAATAACATCACTGATCTCATTTCCTACTGTATTTTGAACATATTTGTGAGTACTGGGAGGTACTTACAGCGTGGGTGCTTGCCCATCACCCCAGGAACTCTCCCGCTTCCTCCTCGTGTGTATACTCTGTTTGTAATGTGGTTTGCCTAGAGATCTTAAACACTGGAGCTGTGTTTGCACTGTTTGTTGAGCAGAAGTTTGTGTGTTACTGTCTACAAACCAAACTCTGTAGTACCATCTAATAATACAGTTGAATCTCTTGAGTACCCTTAAGCAACTCATAAGCTAATGTAGAATTAACTATAAAGATGAAGAAGAATTTTCCTTAAATATACAGAGTTTGCTTTAGAAGCTGAGTGTTTTGGGGAATAAAAGAACTCAGGCTCATACAGATTGGGCATAATGTGGAAAGGGGCTGGGTCAACCGGGGACCCTAGGAGGTGTCTGGCATGAGTGGAGCACAAGGCTCTCTTCTCACTGGATGGAGTGAGGAAGGAGGATAAACGCCTAGAGTCCTGGAGTGGCCTTGGATCACTTGGGTGGGAAATGCATGCCTCTTGACAGGACTTACGCTTTTCAGGTCTGCTTGATATTTTTTTTAAAGACTTAATCATTTCAAAACCTTTATTGCAACAATAGGTTATTGTGGTGTATTGTACAGAAAAATAGCCTGTTCTGTGTGGTGAAAGTAAAAAGGAGGGAGAGATTTTGATCAGTATATTAAATTAATAACTAGAGAATTCCTGCAAGTGCAATCAAACTGCCACACTAAGTATTATTGGGAAGGAGAACCCTCCCATCTTTAGACTACCTCAGGGGTCAACCCAGCTTTCCTCTGTGCTACTTACTGTCTGCTCTCAGCCTATAATTCTAGCAAAGTTTGGCCACTGAATTAAATTAATCTTTTGCCTATTCCTTATTCTGTTATCTAAATGCTAGAAAAATCTGAAGATATTCAGCTTGTTATAACTTGTGCCATGTCTGATTGCCTGGATGAGTGATACGGTGCTTCTATCCCCCAGTGCTATAGCCCAAGGGTTCCCTGTAAAAACAGTAATTTCCAGTGTTCTCCACCCTGTGGTTCTTGTCCTCCTGTGGGTATATGAACTACCCTCTCTCAAATGGCTCCTTAGTTCATCTGACGAAGTATTGCTGTGTCAACACATGCTGAGACTGTAGATATGTTGCAGCTCCATTTGCATTTTTTCTCCAAGACATTCACTCTCGCACTTTCCCATCAATTTACTTGATTGACGGAATGGCAGATATAAAATTAAATTGCTTTCATCCTTGCTTTTAAAGGTCAGAGGGATATCAATCCACAATAAAAGCATCTTTCCATTTAGCTTTTTTTCATTTTGACCCTTAATGTTAATGGCCTCAAGCCCACATAATTAATTAATCCGCTGGTTTAGAGCACCCTCTTTAGGAAAAGTTCAGTAACTGCAAGTCTAACCAGGCAGGGATGGCTTGGTTTAGAATAGCTTATGGCAGCAACATGCCTCACTTTCACTGGGGTGGATGTTACCCTAGATCACCTTTCAGTTCCATCCCAAAAAACTTTAAAAATAAGTGACCACTTCTAGTGGCTCTTTTTTTTTAACAAACAACTTTGGAACTTTCGTATTCAGAAAAGGTAGTAAGCTATAGTAGATAAATCTTCCTTTATCCCCATAAAATCAGATTTATTTATACTTCAGCATGAATTTTTCAAAGAATAGTAATTTAGTTAAATAGCAATAAACTAGTCCTCTTATTCACCATAATAATCATTTTAAGCAACCACTTCTCTCAGCAAAATCCATGAATGGTTGTTTCCTCTTTTCCAAAATCTACTTTTTTTTCTGAGACAGAGTCTCACTTTGTTGCCCAGGCTAGAAAGAGTGCCGTGGCGTCAGTCTAGCTCACAGCAACCTCAAACTCCTGGGCTCAAGCAATCCTCCTGCCTCAGCCTCCCTAGTAGCTGGGACTACAGGCAAGCGCCACCATGCCCGGCTAATTTTTTCTATATATTTTTAGTTGGCCAATTAATTTCTTTCTATTATTTTTAGTAGAGACAGGGCCTCGCTCTTGCTCAGGCTGGTTTCATACTCCTAACCTAGAGCGATTCTCCCTCCTCAGCCTCCCAGAATGCCAGAATTACAGGCATGAGCCACTGTGCCTGGCCCCGAAATCTACTTTTTAGCCAGTAATTTCAGCCTCTTTTTGTTCCATCTAATCTGACCAGTGGTAAAAGTTGACTGACTCTTTCCTTTCACTCAGCAAAACCTTATTGAACCTTTAGCATTGTACAAATTAGGTTTTTTAAACTCAGTACAGTTAGTAGTTAGTGACTCATATGAAAATCAAATCAACAACTGGCTAGTAGACATTTTTTAGTAAATTTTCTTTTAACTTGGAACATTCTCTTTGGATAAACTCTCATCACCTAAGGGGGCTGTGTGCACTTACACTTTAGTGATCAGTAAGTACGGCCTGGGGATTAATACATTTCCTCTGACCCACTGATCTGCTGGACTCTGTAGAGAATACACTTTTTGAAATGATCTTTCCAGAAATGTGTGTAGCTGTCCCATCTGCAAGTTCCCTCCTGGCCCAGTAGTTGTCAGTAACAAGACCTCTCCCTCGTGACTGTGCTTCCAGGTGATGACACATCTCCACGTGATTGAAGAAAGAAGGAACCAAAGCCTCTCTCTGCTCTACAAAGTACCTTATGTGGCCCAAGAAATTCAAGAGGAAATTGGTGGGTACTGACTGTACCAAGGTCAGCTGGTACTTGTTGCTGGGATTCAGAAGTGGCAGCCAGGCAGGTGGGAACAAACAAGGCCAGTGAAGCTGGGCCTTGCACACCATGGTTTCAGAAGTCTGGAATCCACTGGAGCTTACATGGCAAGGTCAGGAAGTAACCAAGGACAGACGTACTGGCCGTGAGCCACAGATTTTTGAGTTTCATTGACCTTCTCTTAGCGGAAGAAAATCTAGGGTGTGAAATTGCAAGGGACTGGGAAGTTTCCTGTTACTATTTTCCCCCTTAATTGCTGATGTGTTTCAGGATATCCTATTTTACACAAATTCTCACCTCCTCTCCCAGTCTTTTATCTTCACTTATTCAGTAAATTTTATTTTGTCTGCTGTTTGTCACAGAGAAAAATGGTGTAGAAACAGACAATATCTGTTGGAGCTCATGTTACAGTAGGAGAGAAACAGATGGTAAAACAAGAAAGCAAGTGTCAGATGGTGATAAGTGCTGTGCAGAGAGTTAAAACTAGGGCAGAGTGGTGGAGAGTGGCCGGTGGTCAGGCAGGCTGCCTGTGGGGGTGGTAGCCTGAGACTTGAATGGGGTGATCGCAAGGGAGAGAGGAGGGGACCGTGACCACAAAGGCCTCAAGTGTTGGTCAGGTGGCACATCTGAGTAGATGAGCGTAGCTGGAACACAGCGAGGGGATGAGGCCAAAGAAGTAGGCAAGGGCTAGGTCTGGGAGAGAAGAGGTAAAATTAAGGAGTTTGGATCTTATTCCAGGTTGATGGGAAGCCATGGGAGGGTTTTGAGCTAGGAAGGGACTAGATCTGGATTATGCTTTTTAAAACATGAATTTTTTTTAAATTCACTTGGCTACTATGTAAAGAGTTGATTAAAATTGGAAGCCAGACAGGAAATGACTGTAAAAATCTAGGAGAGAGATGATGGTAGTATTCACTAAAATGGTGACAAAGGAGATGGGGGCTGGAGCCCCAGGGCAGTGGGGTGGTCTCCAGGACGTGTCCAGGAGAGTGAAGGGGTGTGCCCAGCTTTGCCTTCGGGCCTAAGGGTGACACTGAGGATTTGTGAGAGCAGCTCGGTGGATGGTGGTGCCAGTGTTTACTAGGCAGGGAAGGAAATCACCAGTCCTTTTCACACACACTAAAATATTGTGTGTGTGAAATTGCTGTTGGGCATTACATGGAGGTCTAGGGTAGGCTATTAGAGGAGGCAGAGGCTGGGTGGTAGCTGCAGGACACAGGTTTGGGAGTCTTGGTATATAGGTGATTTTAAAACTTGCATTGGGGAGAAGTAGGTCAGGGTACAAGTTGTAGTTATGTAGGATGAGTAAGTCTGGAGATGGAATGTACAGCATGAGGTTGATGTACAGCATGTACAGGTTGATATGTAATAATAGTGTTCTGTACGATGGAAATTTGCTGAGAGTGCATTTTGGGTGCTCTTACCACAGGTAACTATGGAAGGTGATGGGTATGTTAATTTGCATGACAGCAGCAATCATTTCACTATGTATATATCAAAACATCATGTTGTACACCTTAAATATATGCAGGTTTTTTTTTTAAAACCAAAAACCGGGGGGGAAGAAGAAAACAATTAAACGGAAGGGGGAAAAGAAAAGGGGGGCCCGGAAGGGCCCCGGGCCCCCGCGCCGGGGCCCCGGGGGGCCGCAAAAGCCGGGAAGGGGCCCAAGGCAAAACCAAGAACCAATAACCGGGGCCCCGGCCGGGGGGAAAATCCCCCAAGCACATCTCAAACTACAGAACGACAGGAGTTAGCCCTTTTCAGATTGGTGGTTCTGTGCCCAGATGCCAAGTCCTTCTAAAACCTGCTGTCTGTCTTCAGATGAGCTCCTCCAGGAGCAGCGCGCAGACATGGACCAGTTCACCGCCTCCATCTCGGAGACCCCCGTGGACGTCCGCGTGAGCTCGGAGGAGAGTGAGGAGATCCCGCTGTTCCACCCCTTCCCATCCTTACCTGAAAACGAAGGTGTGTGTGAGTGACAGCGCCACTTCTGGGCAGCAGTGGGGAGGACAAAATGAGAAAACGACAGTCAGTTTTTTGAAACTGGGTTGAGGTGGGCAGGTTGTATTCCTGTGAGAGTCCGAGAAAGGGAGACTGGATTCATTGAGCACCTGCTGTGTGCATGCAGCGGCCTGGGTCCTTTCCGTATGAAAGTAGTTGGTTGGCTTCAGTATCACCATGAAGTTAGGAATATTTGTCCTGTTTCATAGATGGCTGGCTTCAAGCCCGCCATTCTTTCAGCTTGGGTGATGCCTTACATGCGGGAGGCACTTTGCAGTTTCGATAGCACCTTCGTGTTATATTATGTCATTACCATCTCATGACAAGCAGAGGGAGGGGCTGGCTCAGGGTCACATCTCTGACATAAGTGGGGGCAAGAAGCTGTGTCCTTTGACTCCTAGGCAGGCACTCTTTCCTCTATTCCCTTGCTGGTTCTCGATGTCTGAAAGTATCTCTCAAAGCTGGGAGCCTGCTCCAGAATTAAACAAGTTGCTGAGACTGGTGCCCTGAGACCAGTATGTGTAATCAGATTCTATTTGCTGCTCTTGCTGCTGATGGTGGTAGTGATAAAAGCGGCCCACAGCTATGGGTCCTTCTTACGTGACAGCTTTAGCTAAGCATTTTTAAATCGACTCTCTCACTCAGTCCTCAGAATAACCCTCTAAAGTAGGTACCTGAGTGTCTCCATGTGGGGATTCTAAGGCTTAAGGAAGTTAAGTAACTTGCCCAAGGTTGTGGAGAGTCAGGATTTTAACCCAAGCAGGTTTGGTCCACAATCACAGTATCACAGTCACCTGGCTCTGGCTGCACGTGGTGTGGGAACAGAGGCCTAAGGAAGGTGCCAAACTGGAGGCAGAGGGTGGGGTGGATTTGGGTCCAGCTTAGCCCTTGGGCCTTCGCAGAAATGTTTCTAAACTAGTCACCTCAGAGGTGTAGGCTCAGTGCAGTGGAGCCTCCAATAAGAAAACAGGATCTGAGGAAGTAGCAGATCCAGAAAGAGGCAGAGCTCCGTTCCTCACACCTGCTCTCACTGCAGCTCCCAGACCTCCGTGGGCTGCAGTGTGGCTGTGCTTAGACACTGACGTGCTTGCCTGGGCTCGGGCCATCTCAGCACAGGGGAGCTAGGACCTCATCTCCCTGTCAGCAAATCACAGTCAATACTAATTTCAATTTTTGCTGTTTTCTAAGAAAAATAATTTTGTGGGCTAAGCTAAATAATTTGGGAATCTCCCAAAATTTCCCTTAAAAAATGTCCAAAACAGACCTACTACTTTTTTCTTTCTTATTGGTGTTAGCCTCCAGAGATTTGCTGTGGATCTTACTGCTGGTTTATGGGATATTTCAGGCATGTTTTTAAGGAAAAATACTTTTTATTTAAATTATAGAGAAATTCTAAGATAGGAATTTTGAAAGAAGCCATTTTCCTTCTTAATCTCCTTTTGTGCTATTTTATTTTGTTTTTTATTGTTTTCCTTTCTGCTAGACACTCAGCCGGAGTTGTACCACCCAATGAAAAAAGGTTAGTTTGTCAAAGATGTTCCCTTTAAGACCTTCATTCCTTTTCACTCCCCAGTGTGTCAGAAGTTTCATTTTCTGTTTCATACCATCACCTGATTTTTTTCCCAACTCATTGCATCCGACGTGGCTGTGAGTAGAGCCAGAGGGGCCCCGTGTCGCCAACAAGCTGGCCTGACTTTCCAGCACTGAGCGTCAGAGTGGTGTTGGTCACTGTGTGGCCATTATCAGCTCTCCTTCTGGGATGTGCAGAGAATGTACAGTAACTAAGATAGATGCTTTCATAAATCCTTTTCATCTGGATAGTTGTTTTGTTTTGGGTTTTTTTTTGATACCGGATTTTGCTCTGTCGCCCAGGCTGGAATGCAGTGGCACGATCATAGCTCACCGCAGCCTTGAACTCCTGGGCTCAAGTGATCCTCCCACCTCAGCCTCCTGGGTAGCTGGGACTACAGGCGTGTGGCATCATGCCTGGCTATTTTTTCTATTTTTTGTAGAGATGAGGTCTCAAACTCTGGGCCTCAAGCAATCCTCCCACTTCAGCCTCCCAAAGTGCTGGGATTACAGGTGTGAGCTGCTGCACCCAGCCTAATCTGGATAGATTTTTAAAAGTACACCCAGTTTACACAGGTTGGTTGTGAATTGCTAGTATATATAAAAATATGCTTAATTTACAGTCAGGTGGACAGTCTTGTTTTTTTACCTCTTCTTTTTTCTCTACTATTCCCACTTCCATCTTTTCTTTTTAGCTATCCTTGCCCTTTGTCTGTGCCAGTTGTTTTATGTCCCCTGAGCTGTAGCATTTCTTAGAAGAACATTAGAAATGGGTGGGTAGGCCGGGCGCGGTGGCTCACGCCTGTAATCCTAGCACTCTGGGAGGCCGAGGCAGGCGGATTGCTCAAGGTCAGGAGTTCGAAACCAGCCTGAGCAAGAGCGAGACCCCGTCTCTACTATAAATAGAAACAAATTAATTGGCCAACTAATATATATAGAAAAAAGTTAGCCGGGCATTGTGGCGCATGCCTGTAATCCCAGCTACTCGGGAGGCTGAGGCAGAAGGATTTGCTTGAGCCCAGGAGTCTGAGGTTGCTGTGAGCTAGGCTGACGCCATGGCACTCACCATAGCCTGGGCAACAAAGCGAGACTCTGTCTCAAAAAAAAACAAACAAAAAAAACGGGTGGATGAAGCAGGTGGAGACAAGTGAACTCTTCTTGCTGTACTGAGTGTCCGGTTTTCAAAACAGTTAACATTACGTAAAGCACTGCACGGAATGCTTTGCATATTGATTTCTTTTAACCCACTGAACATCCCTGCAGGGTAGGAGTTTTAGCTCTATTTTATAGATGAGGCAATTGAAGAACTCCCTGAGATTACATGGTTTACTCTAAGTCATGACTTTAAACAGTGGAGGAACCAGGATTTGAACCCAGTTTGCTGTCCTCAAAGCCCATGTGATTTCTATTACCTACATTGCCTTTGTCAGCTGCTGAATCCCTCTGGTGATTGGACAGTCCGATCTCAGGTGTTATTGTAAACAAATAGTTCAAACATTCCATGTTCTTAACATATTATATGAGCCCGCTCTTTTGGCTTTGGCAGACTTTTATGGATGGAGCAAAGCAGTGTTCACTGGCTAAGAATTTGATATTCTGGTTTTTGTCACAGGTTGTTCTCAGCACATAAAAGTGTGATTTGAATTTTCTGAAAAATCACTTATATGTAAATGCTTTATTTTGTTCTATTTGGATGTGTATCTTCTGGAGACCACTATGCCAACATTTTTTTGCAACATCACAACTTAGATATCTATTGAGATGGATTTTCTAGAAGTTTAACTGGCTTTTACCTTTGTATTTAAACTGTTATGAGTTGGGACAATTTAACCATTAACTTTTGGTCTCTTGAACTCACTTGTTTATATATTTTATAAAACCAAAGTGGTTATGGTCAGTGTTTAACATGTGGATTTTACCACCAAAAAGGTATTTGAACACTCTAGATTGGCAGTAGGACTTTAGATTAATTGGCTCAGTGCCACACTATTTTTCAAATAGGATCCTACCCATATAACCTTTAAAATTCTGAGGAAGACAGAAAGAGATGGAAGGAGCTCAGAATTAGAATTTACTGGACTTGATCATAAGCATCCTTGCTGAGGCAACAACCCTTCCAGATTCCTCTTCCTCAAGTAGTTGGAGTATAGCATTGCTGTTTCATTGGCATTTTGAGACTACAGGAGCCAGCTCTGATTTAACTAGAATCAAGTTGTGCAGTTCTTCTTTAAAGTGGAAACTTTAGAGAAGATGACATCATTTTTACTGCATTATAATGAATTAATGCATTAGCTAGTCTACAAGTTTAGCAGCTGCCATAGCTGTTACCATTGCTTTGTGTTAAGAACAAGTCTGGTTGTGAGCTGGAAGCTTTGCTATAGCTGGGTCTTGTCACTGTCTGCCTTTGACAAGCCCAGGGACAGCACTGCTCTGTGTTTCTTCCCGTTGGAATCTTGCTTGCAGGTAGTTACCTTAGTATGCCGAATGTGCTGTCAGGTTGGTCTATTTATATTTATAAAGGTTCAAATCTAGACATTTATATAGAACTTTATTATTATTAATACACTCTTATAGCCAGAAATCACATGTTTTGGAGCTAAAAATAGAGGACTGCTTCTCACTTCTCCCCTCCCTGGTCTGTACTGTGTCCAGTCATGCTGCATATTTGGATACTGTCATTTGGAGCGCCACACACGAGCGATGCTGTCTTGGGCAGTGTCTGACCTTGGCAAGAGGAGAGTTGCTATTCTTGCTCTGTTTAGAGAAAGGTGCCTTCCACCCTGGTGTTAGTATTCTCCCTGCTGACAGACTGCTTCCTTCCTGTTTGTTCTCTAATAACCATTAGAAGGTGACTGACTGTGACCTAGGCATGGAGAGGGATGCAGCCTCGTGGGAGACATGGAAGGAAATTGATAATTACAAACTCTGATTTTGAGTGCTGTAATCTGTAAATGTCTCCCACGAGGAGTGAAACTTGAAGGACAGATAGCAGGGTTTATGTTGGGGAGGCAGAGAGAATTGCCTGTGGGCTAAACTATCGTGCTGGAGACAAACATGCAGATTGCCGTGTGAGGACCCAGGTGCTGAAGGAAAGGGTGCAAGAATATCACATGTAAGAGTGTTGCGTGTTGTCCGTGCCAGAACGCCCTTGGACTCCATGTCTGTGTATCTCACAGTGAGCATTCTCTCTGAGGGCTTGCATTCCATTTCTCTGAGTTGGAGACAAGTAAGCACTCCCTCTTCCATTATACCCATCGGTCCTCTGAAAACACGTGTACCATCCATCCGTGTGGAGCACAGTGCATCCTCACACATGTGTATGCAGTCGCAGGTCGAGGAGGGGAGGGGGACTTGGTGAGGGGCTCCCTGGCCCTCAGGGAGTTTGCTGCAGCTGTGAGAGCAGCATGAGGTCGGCCACCCTTGGAAACTCTGCTATGATCTCTCTCCACGCAGGATCTGGAGTGGGAGAGCAGGACCGAGCACTGATCGGTGCTGAAGAGAAAGTGATTAACAGTAAGAATAAAGTGGATGAAAACATGGTGAGCCCATTCTTTCTCCTTCCCAGCATGTTTTACTTTTGAGAATCATTAGAGCATGTGGCACGGTGTCAGGTGCATGTCCACGTGTTCGTTTTCCACATGGTGGAAGATTGGGGCCCCAACTGCTCTCAGACTGGCAGTCTTCTTTAGCATGTGGGTAGGAGGAGTAAAGAAGTCTGCTTCAGTAGTAGCGCATCTCTTACTAAACAGGAGGAAAATACATTTGCAACACGTTATAGGCCATTTTCAAGTGAGTAGAGTTTTAATGGCTTGAAGATGGAGTAGAGTTGGGTTTGGTTCTTATACTGTCTTAGGTTTATACTCCCTTTTATTATTCTGCCATTTTCTATCATTTATATTTCAGGATTATTCTCACCTGAGTTTGATATTTAAATATAGCTTCCTGGTAATCTGTCCTGAAACACTTGTCTATAATAGTTACTTAAAGGAAAATGCAGGTGAAAACCCTTATAGGACCAACTGCTATAAGGTATTTTCCATCCACACTTGCCCCTTCATTAGGGGTTTGGTGAGTGGATTCTGGCATCTGTGACACAACTGACTGGTTAGTTGGGGTCCCACAGGTGTCTGCTTCCTCCCACCAAATAGTAAATGGAGGAGAAAAGCAGCAGTGATGTTTATAGTAAATTTCCCCTTCACCCAGTTGCTAGTTGCCAACATTCTTGTGGCTGTTTCAGGTCATCGATGAGACTCTGGACGTTAAGGAAATGATTTTCAATGCCGAGAGAGTCGGAGGGCTGGAGGAAGAGCCGGTATGTGTTTGGCTACAGAACCTAATGCCAGGTTTCCTGTCAATCTTAGCTATTTTTCCTTTGGACCTTCTCAATTCAAATAGCAAGTGGGAGAGATGTCTGGTGTGTTAAGTGCATGAGGGTCCCTCGTCTGCATTTTCCCATACTCTTGAATAAGAGAGCTACAATTAAAATCTCCATGGAGGTTGGGAAAAGTGGGAAGGATGGGCATTCTCCCCATATAGATGGTTACCTGCACAGCAGGAACTTGGTGCCACCCTGGACTTTAAAGGAGCTTGCCCTTGGTGAGTTACTGGCCTCACCGCTGCCAGATGGTCACTGGCCTTTGTTCCACATCTGCTTTGTCATTCAGGAATCCGTAGGACCTCTGCGGGAGGACTTCAGTCTGAGCAGCAGTGCCCTCATTGGTCTGCTGGTCATTGCAGTGGCCATTGCCACGGTCATAGTCATCAGCCTGGTGCTGCTGAGGAAGAGGCAGTATGGCACCATCAGCCACGGGATCGTGGAGGTGAGGGGCTGGCTGGAGGTCCACTCTGCACCCGGGGCCTGGGTGGGGTTGAGGGGCAAGAACTTTGAGGAATTTGAACGTCTTAACTCCTCGTGTGCTGGACATGCTGCTATCAGTTAAATGGTTTACTGGATTCCTAGGTCATGTTATGGAAGTCAGTAACTAATAAATTGCGCTGGTCCTGTTTTAAGAGCTGTTGCCAACTTTCAACATTAATTTGGGCCTAGACTATGAATGTCAGAAAATCATGAGAACATCTTACGCATAGGGGGTGAAAACTATTTGCTCAGATTGTTTCCTTCATGTTTCCTTTTAAGATATTTAAGAATTAAGGACTGCTACTAGTCCTCTCTTTTAATGGGGGGGGAACCCCAAAAGATCAATAGGAAATTTAGAAAGAGCCAAAGCAACTTATTTCTGTCTTCTGCTGATTTGTAATTTAACTTATTGCACTGTTTTGGGAATGTCCAGAGTCTCTTGATTACCGAATATAAATGCAATAAGGAATATAATGTGCTCTAGAAAATTAGTTCAAATGCAGGTCTTAGTTATTTGGTTTTATCTCCCACTGGAAACCAGCTTAGCTGTAGAATTTCAGAGCTGGAAAAGACCAGAGATCATGTCTGACTCCTTATTTCATAGCTGAGTGTTAAGTGGCTTACCTTGGTTGTTCCAGAGAGTAAGTAGCAGGACTGAGATCGACTTGTCACTGTGGTGCCAAGAAGTCCAGTGGACTGTCTTCCACGTGGACTAAGCTTTCAGGGCTCTGGGTTCAGAGGCACCACCTCTTTGACCCCCTTTTCTTTCTCCTCTGGGTCCTCACCACCAGCTCTCATTGGGTCTGTCCAATGGCAGCAGGGATTGTGCAGCAAACAACTTCAGTGTCCCAGCACCCTGTACAGGTCTCTTCCCAGGCACTGCAGTGACCTTTGGTCTTTGTTTTTCCAGGTTGACCCAATGCTCACCCCAGAAGAGCGTCACCTGAATAAGATGCAGAATCATGGTTATGAAAACCCAACCTACAAGTACCTAGAGCAGATGCAGATATAAGTGACAGGAAGCATGTGGCACCCCTGCTTGGAGTGGGGTGGTGCAGGTCGGCCAGAAGAGGTCCAGCGCTTTGGATTGACTATTGACCAGCAGTTGCTGCCAGAGGGCTTCATCTTGCACCCTGACCTCCTGGATTGTTAAGACTATGAAGTACTACTGTAGAATTGCAATTTCCATTCTTTTAAATGGGTGAAAAATGTTAATATAACAATATATGAAATATAAACCTTAAATGAGAAAAATGATCTATTGCAGATATTTGACTGATGTAGTTTTCTTTTTTAAATTAATCAGAAACCCCACTTCTATTGTATTGTCTCACACATGCTCTCTGTATAAATGGAAAATGTTGATTTTCAGTGATAGGCTGTATATGCAGGCTGTTTGTTCCAGTTACATTGTATAAGTCAGCTCTTTAGGCTCATTCACTGCCCTGGCTTTTATTGAAAAAAAGAAGGCAGTATCCCTTTTTAAATGAGCTTTCAGGAAGTTGCTGAGCAGCTAGGTGGACGAAGGAACTGTAGCTGACCACTGAAACACATGCTGGTAAGCCCTCAAACCCATTTTAAAGGACCAGTTCCTTGCAAGTCCAGTGTTTCCACTGCGGGGTACCTTGGTGTCTCCATACAATTGCTGTCACCAAGGAGATTAAAGGCATTTTCATTCCAGCGTCTTTAGCGAGCCCGATGTACACAGGTGAGGGTGTCCACTGCTGCTTTGCTTCTGAATCCAGTTCTTCCACAGAAATTAGCCTGTAGTTTGTATATGACGTTCTTCCACTTTCCGTCGTCTACTTACTGTAGCTTTTTACTGTTCACTTCCAAGCGTGTCCAAATGTGTGGTCTCGTCCTCCACAGGCACTGACCCTCAGCCTCCCCTTGTGCCCTCACTCCTGCCTCCTCCTGCCACCAGCCTCTTCAGCATCCACTCGGAGAAGACCACAGTAAGGAGGCAGCTGATGGCCCAGGAGGGAACAGAGGTTTGTTTTTATGTGAAAGGAGAATGTTCCAGGTTGTACATGAAATTGATCTGTAGACACTGTGGAAAGCTTTGAAGATTTTTGTTTCTTTCACGAGTCTTTGTAATGCTTGTACAGTCGGTGTTGATGCTCACAGCCTTTTTATTCCTTTTCTTTTTTAATCTGAAGGTTCTGGTAACCTGTGGTGTTTTGTTTTGTTTTGTTTTTTCTATTTTCCAGTAACCATGGTTTTTTTCTTCTTCCCTTTGACCCTATTCATGTCTCTTCCCACTATGCACAGATTAAACTTCACCTACAAACTCCTTACTGTGATCTGTGGAGAATGTACAGAGTTTAAACACATCAATAAATACTTTAACTTCCACTGAGACTCCTGGCTTTATTGACCCTGGCATTGATCTGCGAGGATAGTTCTGCCCCTCCCGCCTTTGGGGTGAAGGGGAGCTCCCGTGCTCAGCAGAGGCTGAAATAAGTCCATTCGAGGAAGTCCTGACACTTGGGCTCGAATTCCATTTTTTAATGAAAAAATAAGAGGGAAAGTCTGCCTGGAGCATTTGGCAAAATTTAATTTCAGCTACTGATATTTATTAATATGAGACTTAATGATACTGGAGACAATGAGTAGAGCTTGTGGCTGGATTTTCAGAGAAATGTCTGCAGCCTCAATTTCTTTCTTAATATCTTGCCACCAGGAGGCCGTATCTTCTCCGAAGGGGGTTTGTTTGTTGACCTGACAACTACTTAGAGGGCTTTGTGCCTGGGGGCGCAGTGTTCACTACTGATTAAGTCTTTTTAATTTTCAGCCACTGGTCCGCCTTCCAGGCGCATGCGCATCCTTGGCTCCTACGCGTGGTGCGTCTCTGTAGGACGGTGCGGGGCGTGGGGACGGCTGGGAACATGGCGGGTGTGGGCATGGCCGCTGTGGCTGCTGGGGCGCCCTGCCGGAGCTGGGGCTGGGCAGGCGTCTCCTTCGGCCCCCACTGTGGCCTCAGCGCGGTCCTTGCACGGATGTCCCAGCGCGAGCCACGGTGGCTCCCAGGTCAGTGTCCGAAAGGCGGGAGTAGCCTGCGGTCTTTCGAGCGCCTCGGGTTCCCTCAGTTCCTGTACCTGGATGGTGCGTTTTTGGCGCCCCATTCGAAACTGCCCCTTCCTTAGCACCCCAGTTCTAGGCGCTTCGTTCTGTTCTCGTGCAGGCTGTGAGGAGAGCTCCGTCGCGACCCTGGGGCGTCCCGGGCAGCCCGGGCCCTTGCTGGCGTTTTACGCTCTGCAGTTTAAGGAGCTCCTGCTCTGTCTCCCCTGCATTAAACGCCAACCCTAGGAAGAATTAAAATGTGTGTTTAATGCATTCGATTATCAATTGCTTCTAGGGGTTTACAGATTGTGACTCTTAAAATGCTTAGACCGACCCTCCCTTGACTTGAAGGGGCTTAAAAATATGAGGCATGTTCTTTTTAAAAAAGTGTGGACGTTCTCATCAAGCCTAATTTCTGGTTTTGTCTTCTTAATGCTCCCACTCAGCGAAAGAACCATAGTCAATACTGTACAAAGGAAACTAGAATTTGGACCAGAAAACTCTGAGAACCTCACGTATACACACTTGTTTGTCTTTGAATTATAGCCTTTTATTTTTTAGCTTTGTGTGGTGTTCACACCCTTGCCACGCGGAATGGTAATTAATGTCATGGCAGATACGCTTAGTTTTGAGTGAAATTTAAACTTATATAATATTAACTTGTATAATCTAAACTTATGTAAAACTTAACTTACATTTAATTGTACACAACCAAAAGGAGTATTATATGTAAGTACTCCTAGCAAAGTATAATATGTCACTTTGTTAACCATAGTATAATAGTTTTTCATCTATTTAGCAAACATTCATTTAGCACTTCTGCACCAGGCTTTGAGCTAATCCTTGTGATGCAAAGATGATTTATGGGTATATTATTAAGAATCTGTCCACTTATAACTCACCAACATCAAATAAATTGTTATTGTCTCAGAGGAAAATTACTGTGCTGGTAGGTAATATCTGGATGAGGATAGAAAAGATTTTTGAGTGCTCAGCTAAGGAAATGGGAAATGAACATTTTTTGTTGATTTGTGGACCAACATAACTGGTCCCTACCAAAAGTCTGAAGTTTGGCATATTTCTCTATTAATTGAAACTTTGAAAAAAGCTTACATGTAAAAGGGATAGCTTTAAGGCCTTCAATTAAGTTTTTAAAAAAATCAACTTTTTAAATCCAAAATCGGGAAAACTTTTAGCAGCACACAGTGAAGAAAGAGACTGACTCTGGGAGGGCGGGATGGGCGGATTGCTCAAGGTCAGGAGTTCAAAACCTGCCTGAGCAAGAACAAGACTCCGTCTCTACTATAAATAGAAAGAAATTAATTGGCCAACTGATATATATAGAAAAAATTAGCCGGGCATGGTGGCGCATGCCTGTAGTCCCAGCTACTCGGAGGCTGAGGCAGGAGGATTGCTTGAGCCCAGGAGTTTGAGGTTGCTGTGAGCTAGGCTGATGCCACGGCACTCACTCTAGCCTGGGCAACAAAGCGAGACTCTGTCTCAAAAATAAAAAAGAGACTGAGAAATTTTCATCAGCCACAAGACAGTGGAGGAAGGCTTCATTTAATAAAAAAGATATGTTAGTCCAGACAAAGATTAAGGAACTACATAATCCTAATGCCTTGGAGGGAGGAGGTGGGATTAAAAATGACTTTGTTTTTTTAAAATATTTTTCTGCTTTTTTAAAGAGCAAGTATCATTTTTATAATAAGGAGAAAATTTGAAAAACAATGAGTTTTAAAAAACAAATGCAGTTAGTTTACCAATTGTACTGCTACACTTAATGGACTATTACACTAAAGTCTGTGTGTACAGAAAGGCGTACTGACAAATAAAAGAAAAAAAAATTTTTTTCAGCTATAGGGATGAGGGTAAGTTCAGGGGTTGACCTCAGAGTCCCTGCCCTGGCTTAGTGTACTGCCAGCTTACGTGCATGGCAAAACACTGTGGGATGGTTTCTAGGGTAATATCACCTACACCTGTGCATGGACGTACACACTTGTGTACATCTTTCCAAGGATGCTGGCCTCAGGAGAGCATTTTATGAGCCTCTAGCCAGGAAGCGTGTTGAGGTGGACAGGCTGGCTCTTCACAGCAGTCGCACTTCAGCCTCTGCCTCCTGCACTGGCCACTCACGTTGCTGCCAGAGAAGTCTTGTAGAAGAGGGAACTTTGTAAATTTTTTGAAACCAGTTTCTGCCAGAGTGCTCTGTAGAGCATCAGCACCAGACTGCAATATCAACTGGGAAGTGTGGCTCTCACACTGTTTATGATTTGAAAGCTAACGGAACAGCTTCCTTCATTTTAAAAGTGCCTGCTATCTGCTAGCTGCTCTTACACTGCATCTGAGTCGTCTTAGCCTTTTGAGGTGGATCATGAGTATCCTCCTGCACAAAGCGGAGGTTAAGGGGTAGAGCAGACATGCAGACCCAGCTCTGTGGGAGTCCTACCGTTCTGTCAGTTCTAGAAGACAGTGGCCTCTGGGGGTTGCCACAGAGCTGGGGCATGGCAACCAATACCTGTCCAACTGGTCCACTCTTGGGACTTACCCTTTACCAACACTCCTGTTGATGATGGGCCTGGGAGAAGTTTGTGGCTGCAGTGGCTCTATTTACATATTCAAAATTACACAAGGAAATGTACAAGGCAGGACTGCCCAGGGGCCCCACCCTAGGCAGCTCCACTCTGCTCCCTGGTGGCACAGCCCCCTCATCAAGTACTGAGAGATACTCACCTGGTTTCTGCCTTCGTGACTCAGCCCTGACCTCTGGGGAATGTGGCCCTGCCCTTTGTGCCGCCAGCTTCAGGTGCGAAGGTCCTGCCTGTCTGCTCTCAGTTGCAGATCAGAGCCCAGCAGCTGAGGTCGAAGGGAGCCAGGCCCAGGTGTCCTGATGTGTTCCGGTTTCAGGTGCTGTGACCACTGATTCTCTTATTTTAGGAGGCACAAATTGGGATGTAAGGCGTCCCTAAGATTTGGAGAGGCCCAGTGGTCCACTCATAGGAACATATTGTCTCAGTTACTCGAGAAGTCATGGGCACAGACAAAATAGGTAGAAGGTACTAGAAGGGACCTTATGGCTCCCTCGCTCATTGTGCAGAAACATGGCCACAGGGTCACCCACTGTTACTGAGTGCAGAGCCCAAGTCTATCTGCGGTTACGTACAACGGGCTCTTTATTTGAGACAAAGGGTAAAGTGGTCCTTGTTAAACGAGACCAGTATCAACCTGTATCTTGCCTTGTTTCCTACTATGGAATAAAGGGGAGTCTGCCTGTTCTGTCCTCTGCGGGCACTTACTTTGGCAGGCTGTCATGATCACAGTGCATTCCCACTGTGGAGCAGCCCAGATAGCCAGAAAAAGGGACATAAGATGTTTTTTTCCCCTAGAATCCTTGAAATGGATGGGACATGACATCTTGAGGAGTCTGCTGGAGTTCTGTGGCTAAGATAACCCAGATCTGGTTGACCTTAAGATACTGAAGCTGATACTGCCTCTTTCTGATGAGAGCAGTGGCCTCATCAGTAAAACATTTTTAGTATGTAATTATTTTAAACTATATTTTAAAACTGCATCTACTATCACAAGTAGAGACTTAGAAAGCCTAAAAAATGAAATAATTTGTCCAAATTTTCTTTAATGAGGGTATGAAGCATTTTGGGTCCAGTAAAATATTGCTAGTTTTAGTGCAGTGATTGCTTTCATTCTCTCTCTCAAGTTGATAGTTGATTCACTTTTTCTTAGTTTTTTTTAACCTAATGTCATTTTTTTGTTTGTTTTGAGACAGGGTCTTGCTTAATTTTCCCACCTCAGCCTACTGAGTGGCTGAGACTACAGGGTGAGCCAGTGTGCCTGGCTGGCATCCTTTTTCTATCCCAGGATATGACATTATATTTAGTTGTTGTGTCTCCTTAGGCTCCTCTTGACAGTGACAGTTTCTCAGACTTCCTTTGTTTTAATGAACTTGACAGTTTTGAGGAATACTAGCCAGGGTTTTTTGTTTTGAGACAGAGTCTCACTCTGTTGCCCTGGCTACAGTGCCGCGGCGTCAGCCTAGCTCACAGCAACCTCAAACTCCTTGGCTCAAGGGATACTCCTGCCTCAGCCTCCTGGGTAGCTGGGACTACAGGCACGCACCACCACATCTGGCTAATATTTTGTATTTTTATTAGAGACAGGGTCTCACTCTTGCTCAGGCTGGTCTCAAACTCCTAAGCTCAAGTGATACTCCTACCTCGGCCTCCCAGAGTGCTAGAATTACAGGCATGAGCCACCGTGCCCGGCTGTAGTCAGGT